TGACTTTTTCGATGTTTCTCATAGCTGACGCCAGTTCTACCAAGCTGGTATTAAAGTTGCAATCGGATAACCGAGTGTATACAGAATCCTGGGACCCAGATGGTTCCTTCTCTTGTAAAGATCTGCTACTCTGACCACGATCCGTCCTTCTATATACTACAAACCTGTATGATGATTGAAATCCTTTATTTCCACGCCCACTAGCTCTTTCGTAAGGCTGAAAATGACTCCAGGAAGATCTCTGTCTGCATCAAAAATAGTTTTGAACTTTTCCGAATTCTGGTCAGGATTGTGACCTTTGGAAGACACCGAAGAACTTAATTGATCATCTTCGATTCTGATTTTTGATTCATAACGATTATGGACATCTGCCCATGTGGTTACCTGAAATTCCAACAGGCTTTCTTTCAATTTTTTGGAGGCATCAGAGCTCAATGGATTAAGGCCTTCGGTGAATGTTTCAGCTGCCCACTCATCAGGTACCGCCGGTAGCAGCATCCTCTCCTTTTGAAAATGGATGACGAAATCTCGCAATAATTCAGATTCTCCTTGAGTAATTCTAAATATATCTGCTTTCCTAGCTTGGACTTTCCTCGCACCAACATGAGCTTTAATGAAAGAATCTGCAAGCATTTCAAAAGAATCAATCGAATTCTCAAGTAAAAGAGAATACCATGTTAAATCACCCTTCGTTAGGGTTTCGCCAAACCTTTGCAACAAGACAGCTTTGATCTAATGCGGAGCCAAGTCATTTCCCTTTATAGTCGTTGTGTAAGTTGTGATATGATCTTGTGAATCCAAAGTTCCATCATATTTCGGAATATCGGGCATCTTAATTTTTTTTTTGGAATCAAATCTAGGGCCGCACTTGGTTTGAACGGCAACTGTGTATAGTTCTTTGAATTCGGTCCCTTCAACACCGGTAGTGCTCCCGGGATCTAATACATCCGGGCATGGAATCTTTAGCATTTTTGTCCATTCGTTCATTCATTCCCTCATGAATCTCATGAGCTCAATTTTGAAAGGATCATTAACATTGTTGTTGTTCCCGGATCCACTACCTGCACCACCTGCTTCATTTTTATTAAAACCGAACTCCTCCCTCAAAACGATGTTACCGGTTCTTTGCATTGTGTTATTTGCAGGCATACTGGAAGGGGCTTGAACTCCTCCATTGGAATTATTGGAAGTAATTGAAAGTGCTTGCTTCAACTCCGTCATTACATGATCTTGTCTTGAGAGATAATTTCTCAAAACTTTTACAGTTTCGACAACATGTTCATCGTCCATATCATTAGGAGTTAGACTTCTCACGTGTCGAGGATTCTGTTCTTCGTGAACCGGAGTTGTCTCATCTCCATCGTTGCGAGTTTCACTGGTTGAATCATCACAATAGAACATGTCCTCACGCTTGTTGTTTGTTACAACATTGAAAGAGTTGTTCACATCGTTAGCTGCCATATCTTATTTTTCTTTTGCTAAAGGAAAGTGTCAAACTGTGTTAGTAACAGATGAATGGAAAAAAGTAATAACACATTTATCTATGTCCCACGCTGGGGTTTAAAATGTTTACCGGAAAAATGGTATAATTAAATTTGTAATGTGATTTATAGACACGTGAATTAATCTTATCCAAGAATATAAAATAAATAAAAACAAATTTCAATCATCACTGAAAGTAACTTGAAGAAAGTACAAGCGTGACTATGGGTTGAGCTTCTCCGAAAGCAATAATAAGAGCAATATGAAGAACAAAAGAAAGGATCTTGTTTTATAGAATAAGAGCCAGTTTTGCTTCCTTTTTTGCATACAAATGTTTTATGTCCTACAGAGGATACAAATTCTTCTATGTATAGCTCAATTCAGGGAGACATGATCCCCAAATCAAGCTCTTCTTTAATATGAATAAAACTCCTCTTGATGGTTGCATAACGGTTGGGCATTAATGCAAATATTCTTTATAGTGGATGCTCATTGAATCCTGTCTTTTCCAACCGATATCTTCCTTTCGAATCTTCGCCCTCGGTTTCAACGCATTTGAAACTTATTCAGCACCAATCACATGTTCGTAACTAGTGCCAACTATTTGCTGACTCATATCTTACTTGTCTTACTTTCACGTGTCAATTCGTCGAGCATCCACTCATCGTTCATCAATTTTACCCCATACATCTTACAAATTCTATAGAAGGATAGTAACAATTTGCAATTTAGGTGTTTTTAGGCTACGTCATTAAGAGGCTAGGGGGTTGGTGATTAGAAGAGACTTTTCAATTCATGTGGTAAGTAAGTACAATAGACTTTTAATATATGGGGTAAAATTAAGGGTGTTAAACGGGCCGGGTCAGCCTGGTTCCGGACCGGCCCAGATTGGTTAAAATCGGAACCGGCCAGGACCGGTAGAAGGGGGTTGGGCTGGGCTGGGTTAAGGGTGTAGGGCGGGTTGCACCGTTTACCATCGAAATACCGGGTACCCGGACCAGTCTAATCCGGTCAATGAACAGTGTTCTTCAACCGGTTAACCGGCCCGGCCCGGACCGGCCCAGACCGGTTTAACGATAAATTTTTTTTTTTAAGGTGGGCTCAGATTTTTGACCGTTGGCAACGGTCCATTTCACAATATGGTCGTTGCCCAACGGCTGAATTGCCTATTTAGCCCATTTTTGGGGTTTTTTTTTTAAAAAAATTAACCCCCCTTTGAAAATCTATAAATACCCCCCCCCCCCCCTCCTCATTTCTTCACTCATCTCTCAATTCTCAATCTCAATTCTCAATTCAAGACTTCAAGAGTTCAAGTTAAATCATGCCTCGTACTTCTACAGTGCGCTCATATGTTTGGGAACACTTTGAGGTGGTAGAAGGAATGAAGAAGTTTAGAAAGTAAAGTGCAAGAACGATGGTCTAGTCTTAAATCGTCGTCCAAAGTGTGGCACAGGCAGTTTAAGGAGGCATATAAAGAATTGTCTTGAGCGTCCTCCGGAAATTCGTATTTAAGTTGATTTGAGACAATTTGTGTTATTTTAAAATTATTAGACGTATTTATGCTTAATGTTTTAGTTTGTTAGATTAATTTGAAGTATTATTATGCAAACTTCAAGTATTTATGCTTAAAATTACTATTTTTTTGTTAATTTTTTTATTTTAAAATTATTAGACGTATTTATGTTTAAATATTTTTTTTTTGTTAATTTACTTGTTAAATGCAAACTTCAATTTCGTAATTTTGAAATAAATGTAGCACTTGCAATTTATAAGTGCAATTTTTTCCCATCTTCATTGTATTCTTTATATTTTTACTTTATATTAATATAACTTACAATAGTTATACAAAAATACAAAACAAAAAAAAATTAAATATAACAATAACCCGGCCCGGCCCGGCCCCATGAACCCGTAACCTTTACGGTTCAATTTTTACCCGGATGAACCCGAACCCGTTAAACCCGGTATGCCCCAACCCGTAACCGGCCCGCACCATAACCCGTACGGGTACTAAATTCCCCTACCCAGCTCGGTCCGGCCCACCCGTTAAACACCCATAGGTAAAATCCTACTTGGTAATCCCTTTGTCCATAAGCATTTCAAACCATTAAAGCTTGTTAATTCAAATTATATTTTTTGTTTCCAGATTTCAAGATTTTCTCAAATTTTGTGCTCCTTTAATTTTTAAAGCTCCGGTAGTGTCACAACTCGAACGGCATATGCGCTGTGTAGCTTTGCTATTTTGCAAGTTATAGAGAATTGTGCCACATCAAGAAACGTAAACCAATCCACTGGTTTGCACTCATATAGTGCCTCAAGTAACACTTAAATATGGCTAATAGATGGAGTAATTATTTTGTTTATTATCCCTTACTTGTGAACTTCTTTACTAGGGCTGAGGTGTCATTCCTTTTTTTTCATTTCTTTCTCTCAACCTGGTTCTTTCTTCTTTATGCAATGTACAACAATAAAAGTTTCAAACTTAGTATTAGTATACTCCCTTCGTCCTAAAATAAGTGTTATTTTTACTTTTTGAGATTCGATTGGGATAAAACTAAATTGGACTAGATCAACTCAATATTTTAAAATTAAAATTGAGATATTCAAAAACTATACAAAAATTATTACTTCCTCCATTACAATATATGTGTTGGTATTTGACGGGGCACAGAATAATGTGGTCCAAAATAAGCCATAGATATTTGTGTGACTGGAAATTATCTCATTAAGGACAAAAGAAATATTTAAAGTTGAATTATTTCTAAATAAGAAAGTATGATACCCCCTCCGTTCATTTTTACTTGTCCACTATACTAACAACATATTTTCACTTTTACTTGTCCTTTTTAGCATATTAAGAAAAAGATAATTTCTTTTTTCCTGTTTTACCCTTATCATAAACTACTCTTTTTCTAAATTATTCCCCAAGACTTTTTGAAATGTTATCATTATTATGTATAAAATTGAAAATACATATACTTCATTTATTTTTTCTTAAAGGGAGTGCAACGTCAAAAGTGGATAACTGAAAGTGAACAGAGGGAGTATTTTTTTTTTTGTGGGATAGACTAAAAAGAAAAGTATGACACAAAAAATGGGACAAATAGAGTATAAGTTGCAATTCTTCTTGGGTCAACATGATAAAAATCTATATTTTAATTGTTCAAAGTTCATGTATAGTTTTAATCAAGATGCGAAAAGTGACACATAGTTTGGAAATGAGGGAGTAGTCGCAATTGAGATTATTAGACGATGAAAATTCGAATTAATATTACCTTAACCTTGAATGGTCCTTAGAAAATTGAACTACTTTAACCTTGAATGTTCATTAAAAATTGAACTAGCAAGTAGTCAATGAATAACCGAGGTGCGTGCCAGAAGACCATCTTGAATAACACCATTGTTAAAAAGATCAAATAATAACATATAAAAATTTATTAAATAAGTTTAATAATTAATACGTACTTTCTTATAAAGGTTTGGGGAGTCGCAGCCATTACAAACCTCCTTGTCCATTCAAAACTCTGGAAAAACTACGTCCCTTTTCCTAATAACCTCAAATTAATTAGTCCCAAATATCTTCACCATTTTCATGAAGGACTTTCTAGTAGCCATCTGCTTAGTTGCAGCCATATCTCTAATCTACTTCACTGCTAATTTCTCCAATACGTCGAAGTTGTTTAGCCATTCAGTTTTTGGTGAAAATGAAAATAACACAGATAAAACAAACGTATCACACATTCTGTTTGGCATTGCAGGGTCCGCCGAAACATGGAAGAATCGCTCGCGTTACTCTGAACTCTGGTGGAGGCCAAATGTAACGCGAGGATTCGTATGGCTTGATGAGACGCCCTCGGCCTTGGGAAATGAGCCCTGGCCGGAGACTTTCCCACCCTATAGGGTCTCTCAAGACACTTCCGCATTCAAGTACACTTGCTCGGACGGTAACAGGTTAGCAATGGTGGAGCCACCTTAGTCCTTTCGCTGAAAAATACACTATGTAGCTAGGTTAATTTTTTTGTATATGTATATTATCCTATATGTTGAATTCTTTATTTGCTTACTTCCTTATCTTGTGACACCGCTAAGTGAAGTTATTGTCTTCGCCACTGCAGGTCAGCTGTGAGGATTGCGAGGGTTGTTAAGGAGAGTTTTAAACTAGGCTTCAAGAATGTGAGGTGGTTCGTCATGGGAGATGATGATACAGTGTTTTTTACAGAGAATTTGGTTACAGTTTTGGCTAAATATGATCACAACCAAATGTATTATATTGGTGGGAATTCTGAAAGTGTGGAGCAGGACGTAGTATGTTCCTACAGTATAGCTTATGGCGGCGGCGGCTTTGCTATTAGCTATCCTCTCGCTGCGGAGCTCGTGAAGATTTTAGATGATTGCATTAATCGCTACCATTACTTGTGTGCTTCTGATCAGAAGGTTGGTGGGTGTATGGATGAGATTGGCATTCCTCTTACGAAAGAACTCGGTTTTCATCAGGTATATATATGTATAATATAATCTTTTGATTATCTTTCAAATCCAAGATTTTATTTACGTAATAAGAGTATCATATTTTTGTCATTTTAAAATAGAATAGTACTACCTCTGTTCCACAATTTATTTTGACGTAATACGGAGTACGAGAGTTTGGATATAGATTTTTCAGTTTTTTTAAAATAAATTTTATATATTTAGGAACTACTGAAAAATGTACTATAAGTCACACACACTAGTGTGCAATTTACAATATTCAAAAAATATTTGCAAAAAAAAAAAAGTTAAAATAAAAATTTAAAAACGTTTTAAAAAAAAAAACCTTATTTGACTCTCTAAATAGTAAATGGTGTAGCATAAAATGGAACAGGGAGAGCAGTATATCTTAGCTTAAATAACACTATTACTATTTGGAGAATCATTTCTTTTTTTTCTTTGATTAGAACTCTAGAAAATATTCTTTAAATAATATTTTAAACTATGAAATACTTTATTCTATACTAGGATCACTTTTATGTTTTTGTCAAATGTGTTAATTTTATTTTAAAAAATTTGAAGAAATATATGCTCGAAATCATATCTAAAGTTGGACCTTTTAACTTTGATACTCTGAACACCATTTTTCGTTTTTGAGACGGAGGAAGTACTGTTGTAAATTTAATTTGTTTAAATCAGAATTATAACACACAAATTTGTTGTAACAAAAAATCAAGTGTGAAAAAAATATCAGTACCCTATTCTTATGTACTCCAGTATTCATTGTGGAAGGGTAGGAAACAGGGCCGGGGGTAATGCATGTGCTTAGGCCCCCAAATTTGGGTGGCCCACTTTTAAAAAATAATAAGGTTATAAGTATAAAAAAAAAAATATTTAGTAGCATTTTTAATACAAAATAGAGTTTTTAATACAAAAGGAAAGAAAACTCTTTAAATATATAAATGAGGTAATAATTTGACATACTTAAAAATGTGTAGATGAATACTTTTCCCAATTTTCAGTTTTCCACTTTCCACTTCTTCATTACAGCTTTTACTCTCTCTTCCTTAATTCGTCCAAGTCAATCTTTCTTCTATCTAATCTCTTCATATCAGCCCTATATATTTTTTGGCTTTATCTTTGATATTCTTACTCACTTTCTTTCTCCAAGATTTCATTACTCACCTTTTTTCTCAAAGATTTTATTAGTTCATGTGCTCAACAATACTTTTATGTTTTTAATAATTCTATACTTCTATTGCTCTGTAAAATCTTATCTAATATCAACAATATCTCAAGAAAGATTAAATGAGTTGGTTATATTATCATTTAAATATGAACTATTAGAGAAAATCGATTGTAAAACAAATTATTAACAATTTTATATCTCAATAGACTTCAAATAAAAACATATCTTATAACTTTTTTAAAAAAAAATTTACGCCTCATATTAAATTATGGCTTTAGGCCCGTATGTGCTGGAGCCGCCCCTGGTAGGAAAATTGCAATTACTATATACTCTTATATAGAAACTGAAAAATTTACTTTAACGTGTTTGTTAAAGATGGATATAACAGGAAGCCCGCGAGGGTTTTTGGCAGCACATCCCTTGGTGCCGTTAGTGTCACTGCACCATCTGGACATGGTACATCCTCTAATTCCATTAATGAGCCAAGTTGACTCTGTGAATAAGGTGATTGAGGCTTATACAAAGGACACGAGTCGGATGTTGCAGCAGAGTTTGTGCTATGACCTAAACAGAAACTGGTCAGTATCAGTGTCGTGGGGATACTCAGTTCAATTATATCCATGGTTAATGAATGTTAGGGAATTGGTGACTCCAATACGGACATTCCAAACGTTTAATGGGTTTGAAGAGCCATTCACATTCAGTACTCGACCGAATTATGTAGAACCGTGTAAAAGGCCTATTGAGTACTACTTGGATCAAGTTACTGACATCCGCAATGGTGAGACCTTGACCAGTTATAATAGGCCTGGTGATATTAACAAGCAATGCGAGAACGAACAGTACAAACCAGCATTAGCAGTCCGTATGGTTAATGTCAAGGCGTCTATTCTATCTCCCCGCGTATGGAGACAGGTAAATTTCTACTTCCTCCATTTTATATTATGTGAATGTGTTTAATTGGACACGTAGTTTTAAAAGAAAAAAAAAAGGTTTTTTGAATTTGTGGTTTTAAATATACAATAATTTGTGTGACAATACAATCAGATTTCCTTGGTCTCATTATGCGATGTTGTTTGACTAGGCACAGAGTTTAAGGGGAAAAAATAACTTTTGAGAATAAAAATTTTAACGTTAAAATATTTATAAATATAAAAATGTGTCAATCATCTTGAAATAGATCGACTATAAAGGAAAGAATATTCCTTAAAATGGGACAACCGGAATATTACTGGATAAAATGATAAGTTTAAAGTTAAATTGTTCTGAAATATAAAATATTGTTATTTTTCTGCGAAATAGACTAAAAAAGGAAATAGTTCACATAAAATGGAACTGAGGAAGTAATCGATTTTGATGAAATCTTTCTTATTAAATTTACTAATTTACTAACTTTATAAAATGCAGGTACCGCGTCGGCAATGCTGCGAGGTGATCAATGGGGAAGATGGTTTTGAGAGCGTCTTACATATCAGAATCAGAGGCTGCAATCAATGGGAAACAATAACGCCACCCTTTTACGACAAGTACGGAGAGTTTGCGGACTTTCAAAGAATGGTGTGATAAATGAATTTGGCTAAAAAATATTTCAATGGCTATGAAGGAGGGAATTGAAATCCTGCTAACCAATTGTATGGAACTTGATTGCCGTGATTATGGCCAGATTTAATAGCATAAAGGAAGATGCATTAAGTAACATTAAATGGCGATAAAATATAAATAAAGGAAAAGATCCACCCCATTTGAGTGAGACGGATCTTCTTTCCTTTGATAAAGACAAATGATAGACAAATGCAAGAACCTTAGGACCCTTTTTGGATCCGATGAAGGTATGAGATTACAGATTCTCCAGAGAGATGTGTTTACATATTTTCTAGAGAGATGCAGGGGGAGAGAGAGAAAGCCCCCTTTTTGGGAAGTCCTCCCCTCCTATTTATAAGGGGGGTATCTATAAAAAATCTAAAAAAAGTACATTTAGAGGGAATATTCGGTAGAATATTCCTTTTGAGTACTCCAAAGCAAACTAGTTGTTTCATGACTGTCCGACCTCGGCTTGTCCGACCTCGGCCTTATTGATGACGGTTCGGCCTCGGCCTGTCCGACCTCGGCCTTATTGATGACGGTCTGACCTCTGCCTGTCCGACCTCGGCCTGCCCAACCTCGGCCTTATTGATGACGGTCCGACCTCGGTCTCATTGATGACTGTCTCACCTCGGTCTCATTGATGACCGTCCGACCTTGGCCTGGCCGACCTCGACCTTATGTCTCCGCGTACCGAATTTCTCTGATCTAATTTTGACCGATACAGTTAGTCCTTCCGCTTATCGAGGCCGTCTCTTAGTCGAGCTCGGTGAGCGGACTTCACTAATCGTAGTTCGAGAAATTCGGATGGGAAGGTCGACTAGTGTGAATCGTGGCTGAGGGTGCCGACCTGTAGGTCAAAGTGGTATCCATGCGGGCTGAACTTTAGCAGAGTTCGATCAAGGCCAATGACTCGAGTGATGAGTCGATCGAGAAGACGGTAGAGTTTGGAGAAGGCGTCGAGGCCAGGATGGCGGCTTTGGCAAGGATGGCGGCATCGGAGGAGGTCATTCGCGTCCACGGATCTGGAAGGGCGAGGAGGCCGAATGTGAATTCGGATGAGGTCGCCGAATCGGGATTCGGGCGAAGTCGCCGAATGTAAATTTGGGCGAGGAGACTGAATGCGATTTTGGGCGAGGTCGCCAAATGTAGATTCGGGCGAGGAGACCGAATGTGAATTCGGACGAGGTCGCCTGCTGTGAATTCGGACGAGGTCGCCGAATGGGAACTTGGGCGAGGCCGAAGGTTGATTCGGACGAGGCCGAATGTTGATTCGGACGAGGCCGAAGGTTGATTCGGACGAGGCCGAAGGTTGTAATTCGAGAGGTCGAACTCTTCTTATTGGTGATGGCCCTTGGCCGTAGGGATGTTATTTCGAGCTTGTCGAAATGTTAATCCGTCGTGGTTCGAGCGATGTCGAACTCTTTTCTTTGGAGACGGCCTTAGCCGTAAGGGTGTTATTTCGAGCTTGTCGAAATGTTAATCCGTCGTGGTTCGAGCGATGTCGAACTCTTTCCTTTGGCGACGGCCTTAGCCATAAGGGTGTTATTTCGAGCTTGTCAAAATTTTAACCCGTCGTGGTTCGAACGATGTCGAACTCTTTTCTTTGGCGACGGCCTTAGCCGTAAGGGTATTATTTCGAGCTTGTCGAAATGTTAACCCGCCGTGGTCCGAGCGATGTCGAACTCTTTCCTTTGGCGACGACCTTAGCCGTAAGGGTGTTATTTCGAGCTTGTCGAAATGTTAACCCGTCGTGGTTCGAGCGATGTCGAACTCTTTTCTTTGGCGACGGCCGTAGCCGTAAGGGTGTTACTTCGAGCTTGTCGAAATGTTAACCCGTTGTGGTTCGAATGATACAGAACTCTTTCTTTTGGCGACGGCCTTAGCCGTAAGGGTGTTATTTCGAGCTTGTCGAAATTTTAACCCGTTGTCGTTCGAACAAGGTCGAACTCTTCTTCTTTGGCGAAGGCCCTTGGACTTAAAGGGTGTTATTTCGACTTATCGAAATGTTAACCCGTCGTCGTTCGGTCGAGGTCGAACTCTTCCTTTTGGCGAAGGCCCTTGGCCTTAAAGGGCGTTATTTCGACTTATCAAAATGTTAAATCGTCGTCGTTCGATTGAGGTTGAACTCTCCTTTTTGGCGAAGGTCCTTGGCCTTAAAGGGTGTTATTTTGACTTACCAAAATATTAACCCGTTGTCATTTGATCAAGGTCAAACTCTTCTTTTTGGCGAAGGGCCTTGGCCTTAAAGGGCGTTATTTCGACTTATCGAAGTGTTAACCCGTCGTCATTCGACTGAGGTCGAACTCTTCTTTTTTGGCGAAGACCCTTGGCCTTAAAGGGTGTTATTTGGACTTATCAAAATGTTAACCCGTCGTCTTTCGATCGAGGTCGAACTCTTCCTTTTACCGAAGGCCCTTGGCCTTAAAGGGCATTATTTCGACTTATCGAAATGTTAACCCGTCGTCGTTCGACTGAGGTCGAACTCTTCTTTTTGGCGAAGGCCCTTGGCCTTAAAGGGTGTTATTTTGACTTATTGAAATGTTAACCCGTCGTCGTTCGATCGAGGTCGAACTTTTCCGTTTGGCGAAGGCCCTTGGCCTTAAAGGGCGTTATTTTGACTTATCGAAATGTTAACCCATCATCATTCGACTGAGGTCGAACTCTTCTTTTGGCGAAGGCCCTTGGCCTTAAAAGGTGTTATTTCGACTTATCGAAATGTTAATCCGTCGTCGTTCGACATAGGTCGAACTCTTCTTTTTGGCGAAGGCCCTTAGCCTTAAAAGGTTTTATTTCGACTTATCTAAATGTTAACCCGTCGTCGTTCCAGTCTATCGATGAATCGGGCATCTTTTGGGAGAGTCCCAGTTAGGTAGTTATTGTTCGCATCGGAGTGTGTGATACTGGAGGGTATGAAACGTCACCGTTTCGCTTACATTTGTTCGGTGTGTTCATAGGAGTTTCCTTATCTGACTCCTGCCTTTCGGTCCGGAGGTACAATTGACGGGCGATGTTCCGGTTGCCATGTGGTAGTTTTTCATTCCTCGATTGAAGTGTTTCTTTGCTTGCTTGTTCGCGCGGCATTTGTGTCCCTTGTTGAGCAAAGAGCAGAAAGCAAGTTAGAACGATACTTTTCTTACCCTCATCGATGAATCGGTGAATCAGAGTAGGTTTATAACGTAGCTCGTTTCGCTTGGCCTTTCGATGGATGATGGAACCGTTCCTACATTGGATGGCTGTATTCAGCTTTCTTTTCCTTTTTAGGCTGCTTCTTTCTTACGCTTGGGTAGGGCTTCGTCTCAGTGATCTTCTTGAGGGATAATCGTGTTCTTTGTCTTTGATCTCTTAGAAACTAGGACATTTCACTAAGAAATCCCCACAGACGGCGCCCAATTGTTTGACTCAAAAGATATTGCAACCTTTTTGAACAAATCAATCAAATAAAATANTTTCGACTTATCGAAATGTTAACCCGTCGTCGTTCGGTCGAGGTCGAACTCTTCCTTTTGGCGAAGGCCCTTGGCCTTAAAGGGTGTTATTTCGACTTATCGAAATGTGAACCCGTCGTCGTTAGATTGAGGTCGAAATCTTCTTTTGGCGAAGGCCCTTGGCCTTAAAGGGTGTTCCCTGGGGGAGTCCCAATTTGCTTAATTTTGCTTGCGCTGGGGAATATGATGCATTTCCTAGGGGAGTCCCAGTTTGCTTAATTTTGCTTGCATTGGAGAATATGATGCATTTCCTGGGGGATTCCCAGTTTGCTTAATTTTGCTTGCATTGGAGAATATGAAGCATTTCCTGGGGGAGTCCCAATTTGCTTAATTTTGCTTGCGCTGGAGAATATGATGCATTTCCTGGGGGAGTCCCAGTTTTCTTTATTTTGCTTGCATTGGAGAGTACAACACGTTTCTTGGGTGATTGCTCCTGCTTCTATTCCACTTAGAGAAATAGTCAGTTAAAACAAAAGGAAAGCGTTCGTTACCTCGATTTAATCACGTTCTCTTCTCCGGTTATGCTTTCAGTGGCCGCTACCAATTTGGCAAGGCCGTCTGTTTCGGTGTTTTGTGCTCGCGGTATCTGGTCGAGTTGACACTCGTCAAACTCGCGCAGTAGCTTATGAATTCCTGGCTGATATTTTCGTAGCCTTTGTTCTTTTATTTGGAAAGTCCCTGTGACTTGGTTGACGACGAGTTGTGAGTCATATCGGAGGATGATTTGCCGTGCTCCATACTTGAGAGCTAGTTTCAGTCAAACTAAAGCTATAGACAGAGAATGTCGCCAAAGCTCTCTCTGTTAACATTCCTAAAAAATGCTTGTAAATGTCAAAGCAAAAAGTGAAGTTGGCATGGCGAAGCACACGAAGGCCTGAAAGGACGTCACTATGCAGAACCACACCTCTCAACCGTGGTAATTTAGCTGCCAAGCGTAATTTTGGGCCACTGTAAGGAAGGAACAAACCAATCTTTGCAAGGAAAACATCAATTGTTGTATTACTTCTTACGTCAGTAAACACATATAGAAATGCTTTTGTAATTGAAATAAATTGAACTACAATTTTACAACAGCAAGTTCTAGATTTTATGCATTTGACCAAGTTATAATCAACTTGCCTAATTCATTTTCAGGAACTCCTAAGGTTTTTCAAACAGCTTTGGAGAGCAAACATATTTATCGGACCTAGAGGCCGACAACACGCATTCCTTTTGAGTGCACTTTAAGAGAAAAAGGTGGGAGGTGGAGAGCATTAATTAAATAATAGAAATGTGTGTTGTTAGGCTTTGTTTTATTGACGTTTGCCAGGTTGCCCTTTCACATTATCAAAAATGGCTAAGGACTAGGAGAACAGTAGTAGCTATACTGCAAAATTTGGGTTGTCATTCACAAACAAGCACTCATACACCGCCTTTATGTTCGAGTATGTATCAAATTCGCTTGGCTTCCCTTAAGATGTTCCATAGTTGGAATTGTATTTTAGATCTAAAGGAAACTAACATTTTAACTAGAAAATCCCCACAGACGGCGCCAAATTGTTTGACTCAAAAGATATTAAAATCTTTTTGAACAAATCAATCAAAGATGAAGGGGTAAATCCTAGTTAAAGATAATTAACTCTAGATC